GCAAACACTGTTCCCAATGTAAGTGATAAGTGCCCAATCTCAGCTTCTATTTGCTTTGGTGTTTGGTTTGTAGGTAGTACTTGGTTACTGTCACTAGTTTGACATTTATATGCTTTTCCTCATGTCCTCCTATTAAAGTCATATTGTGGARTTAGAGCTTCCACCCATGAATTCCGGGGGTGCGAGGATCAGACATTCAGGCCATAACATGCACCATTCTGGAACTGCACGTGAAGGCGCCGCCAGCTCACCTGTGCCTTTTAATGTCACATTTAATCTCATGCTCATGTTAAATTCTGTGTTACATTACTGTAATCACTAAATTGCAATCCTCTTTTCATACAACCTCAAATTATTTGTGCCAATTCTTTTTGAAATACTCTTCTGAAATGTCTAGTATCTACATTTTCCTCAGTAGGTCCTTTCATTCATAATACTTTAGATATTATATGTGTGCTGATGATTCAAATATTGATATATCTAATCTGAACCCTTCTCCTGATATTCAAGTTCATAGATATATCTGGCTGCCTATTTTCTCATCTTTACTGGTATGACAAGAAGTCACTTCAAACACAGCATGCCTAAATTCTGAACTTATTCTCTTACCTTACCCGAAATCTGCATCTCTACAATTTTTCTCATCTCAATAAGTAGCAATTCTGTCCTCCCAGTTTGCTCAGTCAAATGTGATTCCTTTCTTTCCTTCATGCTTAATTTCTAGTTAATTGGCCAGACTAGTGGATAATGTCAAAATATGTCCTTTATTCAAACACTTAATTCTTTACTTACATTGTTCTTATTCTAATCAAAATCATCATTACTTCTTACCTAAGCACTTGTGTGGCTGCCCTGTCTGATATTTCCACTTTCCCATACTCCAATTCTCAGTTTAGCATTAGAGTGATCCTGCATGACTTAACTAAGTCATGCAACTCCTCTTAGCAAAACCCTGCAATAGCTTCCCCCTGCATACGGAACTAATATGGATGGCTACTTGGTACTTACTGGACCTTCATATTTCTTTTGTCTCTTGCTTACTTCAGTCTAGCATGGTTATTCTGATTTCACTTGCAAGAAGAAATAAAGATTTAGCTTAATTTAAATCAACAGATTAATGTAAGGTGATAAATCAGTCTTCAACATAATTGAAGTTGTGATGGATTTTATCTATTAAGAAAGCATATGACAAAAAGACTTCTAGAAACCTTTTCAGAAACATTTTCTGAGAGTCTATAAAGAAAGGTCTTTGATAATGGGAATTTCTTCCAATTTCTTCCTCAATCAAAGAGCATGACAAAACCAGTCTAGGAGGGATTGCACATATACTTTTTTATTTTTCAGATTTTTGTATGTGTGTGTGTGTGTGTGTGTGTGTGTGTGTGTGTGAAACATTCTCATTGAAAAGGTACTTTTTCTAGAAACTTTGTATACTTATCCATTAGTAGATGATTAATTAAAATTTGAAAATAATAGCTATAATAATTGATTTTTTTGTTTAGGTTCCTATTTCCAGTCAGTGCAAATTTCATTTTGAAATTCAATCAAACACAGGATCCAGCAGAGGAGAACAAATTGTTGGAACATGCTAGAAAAAACATTCTCAGATGTAAGGTAATTGTAAACTTATTCCCTAATGTGTAAATTGTCTTTTCTAACGAGGGAAATATTACATATTCTAGAATACTGAAAGAAAAAAGAACACACATACAACTTTCTTTAATTATAAATAGGCATAGATAAAATGATAACGCAAATTAAAGATAAAAAGATTATAACCAAATAATTTAATGCCAAATGCCTTTCTGTATGAAATGTCCCCACAGATTAGTAGATAATATAGCTGTTGATACCAGTTGAAGAACTCCCAGCAAAACATCAAAGCCTGACAAACAAGTATTGATTACAAAATCCCACTTAAAAAAAAGTTTAGCCAAGATACTGTGTCACAAAGAGAAAAGAGAACCTTCTAAACCTTTATTATACACACACAAAGTACTCTGTTCTTTCTTTGTAATAAACCATTCTTCACCTCACTTGTGAAAAATACATTTTTAAAGAGTATGACATTAATTTTCAAATTTTCAAACAGATCTAAACAGAACAGAAAGTGAAATAAATTCTTACCTTCCCTTTCCTACATTAAATTCACTATAAGTTTGACAGAGAAATGTCATTTTGTCATATGATATTACTTCACTGCGGAATAATTCATGAAATAAAAGCTGTACAAAACTGAGACATAATGTTAAGTCACTTTTTTGGTGGTGATTGCTATTTTCCATTTTGTGGTTATTTATTTAAAACATACTTTATATATTTGAATTTTTTGGAAAAATACATTTAAAATATTTGATTACAAAGCGCATACTTCTAACAAATGTGCATGCAGACATGTGCCAGGAGCTACCTTTGTCAGGAAGCTTTTTTTCCAACTGACCAACTGCTCCCTGAGGCAGCCTTAGGAGTGGCCAGGATAATAAGGGAGGTGGGATAATCTACGTCACTTCCCTCCTTTTCATTAGCATGGATCCATCAACATTGTAGTAGCCAGAGTTTTCCAGCAAAGCAGCATCAAACTTGTTTTTTTAATATGTTTTCTTATAAGACAAGAGACACATTCTCTTGGGAAAATGAGGTAGAAGTAAACCCTCGAAAGCAGAATGACAATTGTTTTAGAAAATGATGAATAATATTTCTCAGAATATTAATAATCTCTACTTGCCACACTGATACAATTTGCAAAAAAAAAAGTCAAAAACACAAATAATTAAAACAAAATTATAAAGTTGTATACAACTCTGGCCACATAACACTAGCATCATAGAAGGACTTTCAGAATATAATTAAGAAATAATAAAAATAAACAAATACATTTGAAGATTCTGTTTGCTTTTTTCATGCTTCCAATAACAGAGAAAATTGGGTCTCAAAACCTTGGGTTCTGGGAAGCATGTTCATCTTCCTGCTGCATGGGTTGAAGTAATGTATCTGTCTCAGTGCAAAGGAGAAATCCAAGAAGGTATGTGCTCTATCTAAGCTCTTTTGAACAATTCAGGTTTTTTTTTTGTTGTTGTTTTGTTTTGTTTTTGTTTTTGTTTTTTTGTAGATTAGCAGTTAATACATAATTTGAGACCTTTTGATTTTTGGAAATTTTGCAGAAGTCAAGAAAAAGTTTCCATTCTCCATCAAAATATCTCATAATGTTTAATTATAAAAGTTCTTTTTGTAATTTTGAATCCATGAGTTTTATTGTTCAACTTTTTAATTACAAAATTGTTTTAAATCTTTAGTTCTTTTCTAAAATCAACAACTTATCAAAAAGTAATATAAAGTGTCACTTGGTGATTCCAATTACATTATTTATTATATGTTAAAATAACTTGTTTCTGTATTTTGTAATCCTTAGCATAAAATATTAGTCTAATGGTCTTCGTGTTTTACTTATATTAAACAGCAAGTTGTACTCATTGCTTTTTCATTTATCTTTTCTCATTTATTATATCTTCTTTCAAATGCCCTCTAACCAATCTGGAAAAGAAATTTAATAACATTATTTTTGAGAGGCTGAAATTCATTTTATCGTTATCCTCAATGTTATTTGTATGCCTTTTAAAATGAGTTTTAGAATGTTAACTACATAAGGTCAGAGGCTATTTMCCCATGTAAATTGGGATTTGTCATGTTGCCTGGAAGCTTCAAGCAACAGGAAGAGGCAAAATTATTTTGTATTTAACTTGCCTTTAATGACTCTTCACTGTGGACACTGCCAGTCCACAGACTGACCTCTATTAAAATGTTTAAATGATATTGAGGAAAGCACTTTTGGTGTACCATCAACCAGCAGCCATTTGCTCTTCATTCATTTGAACTTCGGTTTTGTTCAGGCATCCTGTAGTCCTGTGATTCTGCTCTTTGCCCTGAATCAGGGAGGGAAGGGTGGCTGGTCTAAGTTAATTATAGCAATTCTTATTAATTTGCTAGTGATTAGATCATGAGTAGTGACATGATCTGGTCCAGCCCAAAGGAATGTAAACACAGGTGTGTTAGTAGTATTTGTTTTTGAACATACAAGAATATTTTGGAAATAAAGCATCCTTTCTCTCCTCATACCCCTCCCCCCATTATTCCTGCCTGGTTAGCTTCATTAAGAACATGCTGTCTGGAGCATGTGTAGCCATCTCAGTTATGTACATCAGGGAACTAGGGGATTAAGAAATGTGCATACAGAGGGCAGCCATTAATCATTTCTGGAGTCTTTCCAACTCTGATCTTGTGAAATAAGACACAGCCTTAGTTTGCAGTTACTTTCTGTTGAATTGAATGCTACAAAACCAAAAGCATTTTTTTTTCTTTCARTACTGGGATTGAACACAGGGGCATTTTATCACTGAGCAATATCCTTAATCCCTTTTTAAAATGCCCTATGTATTTATTTATACAGGGTCTTGCTAAGTTACTGAGAATGGTTTCAAACTTGTAATACCCCTGCCTCATTCAACCTCCCAAGCCACTGGGATTACAGACCCAGTGAGCATAGCCCCAATGCATTTTAATTCATTCAGATATTAAATTCTTGGCTCAGGGTGTAACTCAGTGATAGAGCTCTTGCCTAGCATGTGTGATGCCCTGGGATCAATCCCTAGCACTGCATGTAAACACACACACAAACACACATATTAGATATTAAATGATGCCCTAAATATTGCTTCTTTTCACCATCTCCACAACTAAAATAACTTCCTAGGAGTTGTCCARCCTATACTCTTTTCTGCTTCTTATCTGTAGTCTACTTTCAACTTAGTAGTGACCATGTGTAATACTTTTTAATTTTCAATGGCTTCTGATTTTATTAAAAATGAGTCCCAACTCTATAGCATGACCTACAGGGGCTCTATGGGATCTGATTGCTAAATGCTTGCAATGTATGCATTATGCTCCAGTCACACTGGCTTCCTTCCTATCTCTTGAACATGTTAAAGAGTTTTTCCTTTCCTCAAGTCCCTGCATTTGCTGTTCTTCCTTGGATAATTTACACCAAAACCCTTCTAATGACCTTGAGTTCCTATTTTTCTATAGGCACTTAGCCCTACTTTCCTCCTCCTTCAACATGAGTAGCCTTGTTTCCTCTGCTTCAGTTTTCCAGTCTTTTGTTCTTCTCTTTTATAGCATTTATCTTCAGGACTCCTTTTCATCAATAATTTTGTCTTATTTCTCTACCATTCCATATGTGACCTGTTGATCAATATAAACATGTTGGCTGTAATAGCTGGGGCTCCTTGGGCCTCTCTCTCTCTCTCTCTCTCTCTCTCTCTCTCTCTCTCTCTCTCCCTGCCTCCCTCTCTCAATCTGTGTGTGTGTCTCCCAATATGCTATATCATCATTTGAGTCCAGCTTCATGACTTGGACCTCCTACATGGCAGCTTAGGGTTCCAAAGCTAGTATCTTGAGATAGATAGACAGAAATCCAGGTGGAAACTATATTGTCTTTTCTGATTCAGCCTTGGAAATCACTGGGTGTCACTTTTGTGGGTTCTATTGGTTGAAGCATTCACAGGGCCTGCTTKAGGGAAGGGAACATTCACCTCTTGATGGGAAGGTGGAAAAGAATTTGAAAATGTGTTTAAAACCAGAATTGGAGGAGCAAATAGTTAATTGCAAGAATTAATTGTAGCATGTAGAAAAATAGGATGATTTTTAAATAACAAAGTTTCTACTTTTTTTTTAAACATTTCAGAAGCTTTAAATATGCTTCATGCTTCCCTGGACCATGCTTCCTTTGATTGTGATCATCTGCCTGCCTTGTTCTTTCTTGCGGAATCAGTTTTACACAGATTTTGTTGTGATGCATTTGTGAAGGTATTTTTATATTCAGTTGAAATAAAACTGGCAAAGGTACGTTTAAAAAAATTTTTAAAATACTTTTAATTGCTATATGCACTACATGTATCCAAATGACATCTGTTTTAGAATCAAAACAAGACATTTACTTTTATTATGGAACATTCTCCAGTTTGGTAATTTTAATCTTACCATAAATGTGAATAGTACATTATTGTTTGATATCCAAGTGCAAAGGGTTTGAGAAAATAAAATTTCACTAGCTATGTTAGAAAACATTTAATTAAAAATCAGGATAGTTACTGTTTTTTGAGTACATATAGATTTTTTTCCATTTAATGCATCTTTTAATGAATTTTTTTCTTCCTTTGCCATTTAAAAGTGCTGACATCTAACCTTAGTTTCTCAGCCTGAGAAGATGGGTGGTCCTCTCAGTACTCTATGCCATTTTAGAGATGTAAAGTGAGAAACCATCTTTGCATAGGTCATGTTTTATATGGTCCTGGAAGTCATATGGTTTCACTCCCTGTAATCATCCTGGTTRACTGTCACAAAATTTATTATTAGTCAAATAAATTTAGATACATTAATTAATTTGTTGAAAAGGAAGAAAAGAAAGGGTAGAAGGATTTCTTTAACATGTCATGTAGCATATATATGTGTATATATATGAAACAAGTAAAATTGACTATGCAAGGATCTATTATTCTTACTCAGTTTTGATCATCAATTGTTAGAAACCAAGCATGAGAGAATATTCATGAATCAGTCCATCAATAATACATTCTATGGAGGTTTTAGTTCTTATAAACTTAGCCTAACTGCTTTTCTACATGTATGGGAGTAAAAGTCTTAGAGAGACCACACAAGAGCAGATGAAGAGAGGAGATAAAAGAATTAAATGTGCAAAGAACTGAGACTTTGCACAGAAAGTTGGAAAAAAAGAATTAAGATGTCACCAAGAGCTGCCTTAGAATGGTGAGGTTATGATTTGGGATCTATATATTTGCATTTATAATAGAAAATATAGAAATATATATGTAGAAATATTAATATGAAATACACAAAACAAACACAAGCTTATTTATAATGGAAAAATTAAATGCAGTGAAATAAAAAATATAATGGATTGGAAAAACACTGAGCAAGTCTGGCTTATCTCTCCTTTCCTTCTTATGTTTTTTAGAGACCTTTCTCCATTTCTTGATTTTGTATTTCTTCTAGAAACAAAAATCACTACAAAGTACAGTTTCTTCCACTGAATGTATTGCTTGTACATCATGCACACTATGTCATTTTAATTTTTAAATTTTCCTGCATCTTCTTATCTTGAGGTTAGACAATTCACATAGGTTCTTATAGCAGCTGCAAAGGATCAGCATTTACCTCTGAGCTTTGCACACTGGTAAATGGCCTTAGATATGTTTGCCAATTACCTTTTATGTTATCTCACAATCGTCCTAAAAGTTGTGTGCTAGCATTATCAACCATTTCACAGATGAGAAAATTGTAGCACAGAAAGCTTACTGACTAAGCCAATGACTCAGCAAAAAGGGTTTAGAGTCCAGTGGAGTCTCAGCCATGATGCTACATGTGTACCTGGATCTCAGGTGTACTCATTTTAAAGCTTACTCTTTATTCTTTTGGCCAGTTTAAACTAGTTGGTGGAAGCAAGCATGACCTACGTACACTGTAGAATTTCATTATGTAACTCATTGGAAAATTTTCTTTTGTTCTTTTCTTTTTAACCGAAGGCTTAGTTGAAAGGTATTCCCATAGAGGCACCACATACCTCCATCTGCACCATTTTACTCCTCCTTTGATGAATTAACTCAGGTTTGGATAAAGCCAGAAATACATGATTCCCTAATATTGTTTCATTTAAGATTTTGTAAATGTATTCTTTCCTCTCCATCTACTTCTAAATGTAGAATCTTCTTAATTATTGAAGTCTGCTTATGGAAATGTAGAGAATAATATATAAACAACAGCAGTTTAATATATTTGGATATAAACATAGGTAGTACTTCTTAAGTTTCTATGGAAGATCATGAAACATAACCAACTATGAAAATATAACACATAATAAATATTGTCTAGCATTTCCATTTTAAAGTCAGCCCAAAAGGTAGAGAAGTGAAAAGAATGAAGAAGAGAGAAAGAAGTAAATGAAAATGAAAGGAAAGATAGGAAGACAGGGAAAGGAATAGAGAAGCAAGAATTCAGCCTAGAAGGCATGCTTGAATCCTCTAGTTACAGATAAAACATGTACAAAAATGACACACAGAGAATGACACAAAGAAAGTCCCAGGAATCCTGAGAGATGCGGAAAGGGAGAGTTTTCCATAAAGTCTGGCCTTCGGAATATTATAGGTAAAAGCTTTTAAAACCGTGTTTCCAAGCATAGTTATAACTAGGGATAACATCTGGGCCAGGTGAAATTCAAAACCAAATTGGAGGATAATACAGTATTTTCTATTTGTGCCATATTGAATTTTTTAGCATCAATTAATTCCTTTCAATATTTATATATATTCCTTTGAAAAATCCTCAATAATCCTCTTTCTGAATAGCTTTTTCATGCTTTGCCTGTAACTGTAGAAGTTGCTGCCTGTAATGCTCTCATGTAGACTACTGCAATATTCTTTTACATGGTCTGTTGATCTTCACGTCCTTCTCATTTAACTTCAATCTCCCAGAGAAACACAGTGCAATATAACAAAGTGGTCTAGATGAAGAGACTCCCTGAGCATGCCTTAGAAACATTTTGTTTTATTTTATAAGTCTATAAATAGTAGATGTTTATRATTTATAGAAACATTTCTTAATATTGATGGTTCATCCTGAAAATGTATTTTTAATGATAGAGGCTTATGATTAAAAACCAATTGAATTCCCAGCTATAAGTGAAATTTTATGGTTTATGGAATAGTACACACAATTGTGGGTTGAAAGTCCTGAGATGCCACTGATTTGCTTAAGAGTATTAGGTGAAGCACTGAGATGTGGTTAAATTAAACGATTTTATTTTATTTTAACATGCATATCTGATAATACCCTGTGTTACTGTTAAGAAAATTTGAGATATTTTTTCTCCCTCTCTCTCTCTCTCTCTCTCTCTCWCACACACACACACACACACACACACACACTCACACACGATAGTGACAACTATTGCTATTTATTTCTTCTCCAAGATTTAGTTACTTATAGTTTATTTATTTTTTATAGTTTTTGTGTTTCTTTTCCTAATTTTATGTGAAATTGTATTTATTATGCATTTTTTTTGCAGATATGCCATTTTCTATAGTCTATGTAAAATAAACTATTTTTTATCTACATGTGTATTTTAAATGTCACAGAAATGAGGTTTTGCAGTGCTTACTTAGTAATGACATTATGAGGTTTTTTTTTTTCATGAGAGAATAGGGAACTTGGTGAACCATACTATGTACATGCAGAATATTTATCAACACTGACTTAAATGGTGTTTTTCAAACTCTTTTCATTAAGACTCATAAGAAGAAATATACTTTGCATTGTGACCAAGCATGCATAAAATATACACTCACTTACATACTGAAAAAAAGGAATTCTGCAATACTTCATGATGTTTTCTCTTTATTTTTATTTTAAAAAATACCCTCACAGTTGATTTCACAACTCACTTCAGGAGCATGACCAGCAATTTGAAAAATGCTGTTGTAAAGGATATAGAACAAAATAGTATTCAGTATTGGTTATATGAAATGTAGAGATGATTTATAAAAGTTTTGTGGCTGAACTAGCATTTCAATCTTGATGTAAATGTTTTAAAATTATTTAAAATATGTAATATCAACAGTTTGAAGTTGTTTTTATCAAAAGTCAACATAATAATGAAATGGTTTATTTTCTATATGGTAAACATTCACTAATGCAATACAAAAAATGCTTTTCTCTTTTGACAGATTGGCTATTTGATCTTCTTACGACTTTTTATATTTTTCCTGCATGGTCACCTAGAAAGTTTTAAACAACATTTACTTAGGCTTCAACCATATTTATACGGTACAATATCTTTTATTTTAGACTTATAAATGTTTTATGTTACATTTTAAGAAGCTCTGTCACTATAAAAAGCATAAATTGTATTTTATTTTCATGAAAGATAATAGGTACAGTGTTAGCTTCTGAGACAGACTGCATTTGTTTGGCATTCACCCATCCTGCACTTACCATTTCTTTGTGGTGAGAACATTTAAAATCTATTCCCTTAGCAATTTTGAAACATACATTATTATTAACTGTAGCCACAYGCTGTGCAATAGATCACTAGGACTCATGCCTCCTGTCTAGCTGAAAAATTGTACTCCTTGACTAATATCTCCCCTTTCCCAGACACCCTTCTCCTCCCCTTCCCATCTCTGGTAACCACTATTGTGCTCTGCTCTGCTTTATGCTTTCACCTAAGTGGATGATGATGATGATATATTTGTACTGGAGATTGAAACCAGGGGCGCTTTACCACCAACCACAATCCCAGCTCTTCTTGGTGTATTATTTAGAGACAGGGTCTCACTGAGTTTCTTAGGACCTTGCTAAGTTGCGGAGGCTGGCTTTGAACTTGCAAACCGCCTGCCTCAGCCTTCCGAGCTGCTGGGATTACAGGCATGCACCACCAGGCCCAGAGGATGATGATGTTTTGACTTAGTTTTCTCATCTCTAGCACTGCCTACTAACTGGATTTCAAAAAAGTTAAACTCACATTTTAGTCAGGTAAGCCTACTGTAGTTGCTGGATTGGAGTAAGGAGAGAGTGAGTGGATTCAGGAGGCCAGTTCAGCACATTGTACATAAACAGAATATTTCTTAGCACTATTCAAAACAATGATTTTCATACTGTTTTGATTAAGATCCATAGAAAGAAATATCCTTTGCACTGCAATGAGCACACACACAATATACATTCACTTACATACATAGAAAAAGGTGTTGCCATTGAAGAGAGGTTAAAGATGTGGACTATTTTAATGGGAATGGTATATTGTTAAATAGTTTTTTAAATAGTTAGAGATAAAAGAGACTGGATTGGTGACCAATTAGAGCTAGGATATATGTAACAAAGTGGGGAATTCAGGAGAAAGTAGATGTTTTACATATTGAATAAAAGGATCAAGATTTGGAGAAATATTGGGCACATTAAATTTGAAGGCCACAAGAGAAAGCTGAAACCTGGGAAATTTATTTTACAGTCATTTATTTGAATGTCCCTGAGATAACTTGAGGTGGGGGGACTAATTCTAGGAACTGAGTCTTGCAGAAGATAAACATTTAATGAATTATTGGAGTAACAGAGCCCACTAATAGAGAATTCAGGAAAGTAAAAGAGAGTAGTGACATCTAGATAGGAAAATTCAAGGAGATCGACATCATCAAGAGCTGCAGAAGTGTTAAAGAGCAGGAGCTCTGAAAAGCAGTAATGGGTTTCTGGAATCACTGATCTTGGGGCATTCCTCAGGGACAGGTGAGAACAAAATTCAGACTGGAGGCAAATGCTGAGGGAACATTTAAGTACTAGACAAAATTGTGAACTAACTATTTTTAAAAGTTSGAAATTGTGAACTATTTTAAAATGTTTATATTAATATAGAAATATGCCAGTAGTTTGGATGAAAAAAATCATATCCAAAGAAGAGATATGATAAGGGATGGGGAGATTCAAGATAAAACAAAGGAGATAATATTTGATGGGAAAAGTTGTTAAGGAGAGAACAGAGGGAATGGAGTTTGCACCCTACAAGTCCAAATAAGATATGAAACCCAGAGGAAGCTGTAGACTGGTAGAGCATGAATTCTTGTCTGTCATACTGCTTGTTCATTTCTTCAATATGATATAAATTGTAATTCCTTATAGTGTTTAGCATACTSACTTGTCAAATATTCAGCTGATAGGGGCAAATACATTTTTGAAAAAATACATGGATAAAACCTCATGTTCTTTTATTAGTTCAGTTATTGTAGGTATATCCCAAGAAAACCAGCACTTTTCTTTCATAAAGGGATAAATCCCCCCCACCTTTGCCCTCTTACCAAATACTGCTAGGTAGAGCCTTAGGCCACATCTCTAGCTTCAGCAACAGGCTGTGTCATTTACCTGAAACCATTAGCAGCTGCGGCCTATTTGTGTCATTGTCCAGTAGAAAGGGGCATCACTCATTTTTCCTCTGTGCAAATGGATTGAAACCCAAAGGTTGTCTAAAAGTTTGTAGGMATCACAAACACAAGATGGTCCTGCTAAATTATCACATATTTGTATGTTAAATGATATGATTATTGTCTATATTTGAAGGATGTACTTTAAGAATCAATAACAACATCTTGAAATAAAATCAGAGAATGTGGGGTTAGAAATGACATTAATTTGTTTCTAGAATTGCAACTTCAAAGTATCTATTATGAATAGAGTGTATATTATAACTTGATTTATTTTCAGCTAGAGGCAACCAAGCATTGTTGAGCAGTAACAATATTTAATTGGGCATTCAACCGTTATGTAATGCCGATCTGAATTACATAAACTCCTATCTGAATTATTTATTTTGTAGTTTTTTATTACACCACCAGGGGGCAGACATACTATTGTAAATCTTGATTACTAGGTAAATGTTCAACAGTTCCAGCACCTAAATACTCAATTTAATTATACTTTAACAGATAAAAAATGAATGAAGTACAATGCAAGATATTACTGAAGTATTTTTCACAAATGATTTTTCTTACAATAGCACTTTCTTTCTCTGAAAAACCATATCACAAGTATCCAAGCATCTATTCAAATGTGCAATTCATCCTGAAAACATCAGAAATTATATGTAAAAGAGAACTTTCTGAATCAATCTTTATCCATGAGGAAAATGAGGAAGAATACAAGAACATAGATTCAGATGTGGTAGGTAATTTGACATGGTGCGCATATCTTGTATGATTTATATGATGATTGCCATGAATAATCATGCTTGTCAATTCAGCAGTCATTGCTGAAGATGAGTTCACTGCAGAGAGAGTGGGCAGTGATGGGATGAACACCACATACACTAATTTCATGCAACCATATGCACATTTCATGGCAAAGAGMCAATTGGATCAGTAGTAGGGCATCAATATGCACCAGTACTACTTTACATGGAGTAATGCCATAATACCTCTTCCCTATAGGTTTCATTTTAGTTTTTAGCTAAAATTACAACATGATTTAGATTGATAAATTAAAATTTCAAAATACTATGTTTTTATTAAAGGGAAAATATGTAAAGGCAGATTATTCATGAGATATGTGTAATATTTTATGTGTCTGTAATTCATATAGGGTAACGTTTAATATGCTCTCAAAATCAATGGAAAACTTTAAAAATATTTCAAATTAAGGAACTCAAATAATTCTTAAACCTCTCTTAATTATCTACTCAAATATTAATGATCAACCTTAGAGAACACAATCTATCCTAATTATGTAATTCCTTGGTAGGTACTAAACTATAATTATGCAAACACAAGTGCAATGTGCCATATAATTATACATACACCATTCAGATTGATATACTTCAAAGGACAWACTTCAGTCTCTGATGTAATAATGTCTTTATTTCCTTTCTTCACTTATCTTTCAAAAGAGATCAGTGAACACTTTGAAACCTTGATTCTTTCATTATTTTATTTTTTGATGCACAGTTATTATTTTATARTTTATAAATAGAAAATTCATTTTTGAAAGTTTCTCAAAGAAGAAAAATTCTTTCAACATAATGAAGTTGAAACAATAGGAATTTGGGGGAAGATTCTATTTGCCAACAAGTCTATTTCTATGTGACCCACAGCTTTCCATGCTTTCTGTGGGCCTTTTCTAAAATTAGCTATAAATTAAATATGCAAGAAAAGACATTTCACCACATCTATTTGAACTCTTTCTAAGTGTTTTCTTTTTGGTTCATTATAGATGAACCATTTATATATTTGCTAAATAGTTTGAACCTTCTAGTAATAATTACCAATGAACATGAATTGTATCATTTTAAAGGAAGAGATCTTGTTTGTAAGTTTAAAAATGTTTTGATAATAAATACATAATATAAGTCACTGAGCACCAGAAAGAATACTGATCATGAAAAGAAAAGACCTGCTCATCAACTGGCACTGGGATCTGGAGGAGATTCATTAAACTTTCCATATCTCCATTTGCTTAGCTGTAAAAGTCTTCATCATCACCATCTTGTCATATCTGCCCTAACTCTTCTACAGGTGTTATAGTTTGGATATGAGGTGACCCCTAAAATCTCACATGTGAGACAAGGCAAGAAGATTCAGAAAAGAATGATTGGGTTGTGAGAGTCTTAACCCAMCTGGTGAATTAATCCCCTGATAGGGATCAACTGAGTGGTAATTGAAGTGGTAGGGTGTGGCTGGAGGAAGTGGGACATGGCTTTGGGGTATATTTTTGTATCTGGCAAGTGGAGACCTCTCTCTGCTCTCTGATCATCATATGAGCTGCTTTCCTCCACCACACTCTTCTGCCTTGATGTCCTTGCCTTACCTTGAGCCCTGAGGAATGGAGCCTACTGTCAGTGTACAGAGACCTCTGAAACCATATGCCTTCAAATAAATATTTCCTCTTTAAATTGTTCTGGTCAGTTCCTTTTTGTCACAGCAGCAAAAAAGCTGACTAAAACAACAGGGTTGTGAGTTAAAAAAAATGTGCCTTGTATATTAAATGCTACGCAAATGTAAGTAATGATCATTGAAAAATAGGCATTCATTTTAACATAGACAGTTAAGTGTAATAATTTCATCTAAGCATGAGGCTATATTGACTTACTGTAGTGATTTCAGTGTTTTTCCTTTATACAAATAAGATGCCATGAAATCTTAGCAACCTGAATGTTGGTTATGAAGCTGGTGCACACACAGAGCAAGCAAATGGGAGCTAACTGCTGTACAGATCAGCCTGAATCGTAAGGGGCAAAACTGTCAACATAGAGAGGAACATATCTGCTTAGATGATACTTAGTCTCTTTCTGTGTCTTTTCCCACTTTGTAGAACAAAGGGCTTAAATTCAATTGCTCCTAAATTCTATTTCAGCTCTATCAATGTGATTCTCAGAGGGGATTATAACAGATTGTAGCCTATCAGGTTTATTGCCCTTTTTTTTCCCCCTCCTTCAATTACTTCATAATATGAAGGCTATAAAGGACAGTGTAACCACATTGCTATGAAATTGCTGATTCGGTAATCAGCACTGATTCAGAACTTGATTGCCATGCCTTAAAGTTTCCAGATTTCAGCCCAATTCCTCTGGAATCACTTAATCTACGCCAGCCTCCCCAGTTCAGTTGAGCATCTCCGGGTTCTATACCACCTTACTCAAACTGCTGGGAAGAGGAAGAGGAAAAAAGATAAAGTTGGAATATAAAAGACATTTATAGTCATCATTTATCCCTTCCTTATTAGTAGGAAATTACAGTAGAGGATTTGTGAAYTTATTCCTAGGAGACCTTATTCTCTGATAATATAAAAGGTCCATGGTAGCATCTTTTGGCCACTGTAAAACATTTTATCTTTTTAATTCATTGGGGCAAAAGCATAATTACTTAATTTGTTGTCCAACTATTGCTAACTGCTTTTAAAATTATGTAGGATTTATACATTACCATACACACAATATGGTGTTGGTTCTATTTAAGAATAGGAAATTTCTGGACTGGGGCTGCAACATAGTGGTATCATGCTTTCCTCACACTTGTGGTTCAATCCTCAGCACCACATAAAAACAAACTAACAAACAAAAAAAAGATGTTTCCTTTCCTCTCTTGCTGAACTCCATTTCTTGTTTTAATGTCCTTTTAAGTGATCCAGACACAGGGTTTTGATTGACTTTTACAAATGGTACACTTTAATTAGCTCTTCGGATTGAAGGACCAGAATGCTGGATTGAGTTTTCCATGCTCACCAGCAAAGCTGAATTTTCTAAGCACAGTTGTCATATGGTAATAATAACATGGTTTTTGGAGAAGGTAACTTTATCAGTGAAAATGGAATAGATTCTGTATTAAAGAGTTTTCTGTTCTAAAGTACAAAAATTCCCTGAAAAAGGAGCTAACAGAGTTATGTGATGAGCAATCTCATCATCCAACACTTACAAGTATTCAGGAAACCGAAGCCACCACTTAAATTTAGGATATTTTATGYTGACTGTAATTGTAAATGGGCATTAGCAACTGGATTATGAGGATTTAAAGAACTTTTTTCTTTAAAATTAGGAGCATTATCCTGTGATTAATGCCCCGTAATCCAGGTAACAAGTTTGTATTGGAGAGGCCCTTTGGAGGCARTGTCACCCATTCCCAAATGACTAAAACAAGGGTGAAACTCTGAAATCTGTATCTGAGCAGCCATGATAGAGCTCATGCTTCAAAGCTCATTTATGTTTTAGAAGCTTGGGYAGACACTCAGGGTTTACGTACTTCAATTTTCATAAAGTTCAAGGTGATGTGGTTATCCAAATTCTTAGCTGTCTGATAGCACTTCCAGCAATGAGCTTCTCAAAGTAGGCCTTGCACCAGCTGCAACTGGCARTCAAAGCTGGGCAGCAAGGCAGGAGGTGAAAGAACTGTAGCAAGCAGTTAAATAAAAAATTAAGGAAGGAAAGAAGTGAGTCATTTAATGCCGTGGTCGGTACCAAACGTTAGATTTGGTGAAAGATTAGTCTAGTCCCAACTTCTCTTCCCTTTCTTTTTTTTTTTTTTTGTCTAATTTCCAAGCCATCACAGAATGATGATATTATAAAATGTAATAATAATGAATTACTGAAAAAAGAATATTAAAATTATAAAAACACATTGTAATTTTTATCAGACTGAATGTTAATAATTATTATGTCAATATGTTGTGAAAATTTTTAATTATATATTCTTCATTTCTCTAGTATTAAAGAGTTGGCAAACCACATTTTTCTGCCAATCACATCTAGATTAGGAGTGACTTGGTGTAAAGGCAAAGAACTCTACACCACTCAAGAACTCCCAGACCATTCTCCCTCTTGGTCTTCTACATTGATGATGTCCATGTCAACTGTATTAAATCACATAATCATCATTATTTTATTAATATTAATTGGGTAAAATTGATCTTGATGATTCGAGTACCCTTAAGACAAAGTGAACAGGAGCAGGTCTGCAGTTAGCACATTGGGTTTATTATTTGTTGTAGAGAGAACCCTCATCACTAGGAAYCACAGGATGTTTCAGCAAGAGACATCCTATCCTGTGGTAGGACTTGAACTGTGAGTGATTGGGAGAAGATTGAGGGAGAAAGGCTTCTCTCTAGATGGGATGCTGTTAGAAAGTAGTGGCAACTGGATGATCAAGAATTTTGTGATTAAGGGCTGGGATTGTGGCTCAGCGGTAGAGCGCTTGTCTAGCACGTGCAAGGCCCTGGGTTTGATTCTCAGCACCACTTAAARATAAATAAATTAAATAAAGGTATTGTGTTTAATTACTTCTAAAAAATAAATGCTTTAAAAAAAGAATTTTGTGAATGATTCAGTGACTTTGCTTTTGCCTRTGCTTGGGAAAATAATTATCCGATGGCTTTGTTGATTTATTATAGTATCAGAGTAATATTACCTGAGTTTGGTATTTTGTGAATTATGTTCAACAGGAGATCAAAATGACCTAGCTGAGAGCACCAGACCAGACTGTAATAATACATTGTCAAATCAGTCCAGACGTCAGAGGCTGCTTTTTACATCTCAATGATGAGTAGGAATGGCATCATAAAAAAWTGAAAATAAAACTAAAATCTTGTTCATTGTCTAAATCCTGATTTTTTTTTTTCATTAAATACACTCAGGAATTTTCTCTGGTGATGATACAGATGTGTTAACACAAGTATATTTCAAGTAACTGAATATTCTATGTAGCCATGCAATATTTGTGATTTAAAAAGAAATAGTAATAATAGTAATGATAACTAAATAGAATGCATTGATTGTTGACAAAGTCACCCCAAAGTTTCAAAACCTACCTACTGACCATTTTATTCAGAATAAGTTTRTAACCTGACAACTGTCAGACATCTAAACTGAGACACCTAGGGCAGTGTGGGAAGAGAATCTCATTTATGTGAGTTCTGCTTTTTGTATGGGGTATACCACAAAGCAGAAAATTGAGTTATGTGTGCATTTACTGAAGTCAGCATGTCTCAGTCTGATACCTTACATTACTTTAAAATAGAACTTTTCTGTGGAATATTCTAATATTCTACACATTGATTTGTTTCCATTTGCCTTTCTGAGTTATTATTCCCCAGAGTCAGTAAGCTCATGCAGACTGTGTCTTACTCATGCCTTTATCTCTAGCAGGTAGCAGAGTTCCTGACATAAAGCGAATCAATACACATCTGCAGTACTTAACTAATTAGTTTACTAGAAAGCTAAAATGTCTTAGTTTGAATTTATGTATGAACTTCTGACCTGTCTTAAGAGTGCTCAACATGAAATCATCTTTAAATTGTAGTTGTGATGTTCTTTTATGTGAYAAGAATTATGAGGCCCTGTATATTCGAAGTGTTTCTTTTTAACAGCACAAAATATCAACTAAGTTGGCGATATGGGCACATGTGTATTTGGATCTTTACGACTCAATGGGAGTGCCATGTCATCATTGAATACCAATTATTTCAGTGGACCAATTAGATCTAAAACTGCCAGGAAGCACTCTGAGAAATAAAACAAAGCAATAGTAGCCCATTTGTTATCTGAATTTGTAGGCTTTTAAAACACTTACTTGACAGTGACCATGTCCTGTGGGGCATATATTTTTCTCCTTAAGGTGGAAATTCACAGCAAATTCTAGTTTGCTGTCTGATCTTTGTTCAAACTTTCCCCTMTCCACTCTTGCTCACGTGTCAGGAAGAACTGAGTCACACAGAGTGTAAGAAACATAATCTAGTCTAGCAGCTGTCCCTCAGAGGATGCAGGATTCTTGTCATATTTGTAGAATGGATATCATGGAACACAAGGGACCCATTTGAAAAATAGATACCTTAGGTTCAGATTGATTACTTATACTTACAAAAATATTCTCACATAAATTACTTCACCTGGTGAAACTTCAAGTGTAAGAGAATATGCATTTTCATTTGTATATTTAAAATTTATTTTCATGTTGTTCAAGTCAAAGAATTTTTTCCCYAGATATATTTTTATGTTTTAATTCCAGGAACATTTGCCATTTAATCCAGGAGGATATGAAGTTAGCCACCTGCTCTGGCATTGTGTGGCTGTTTGGTCTTGTGTTCAGAATAATAGTCCTCAGCTGAATAATGTGCTTGAGCATCTCATCTTCCATAAAAAGCAGCTTCAAAAGAAATGCTGGTAAGGGTGATTCTATAAATCCAAAGGAACTCATGAAGAAACCTTTGTGCTTAAATGTTAAATAACCTTTGTATTTAAATGTTAATCACACCTCAGTTGACTATGAAAAAAATTTATAATCGCAGTTCTAAAGACAAGAGCAATTTATTTATTTATTTTGTATTAGTTCATTTTATCAATGACTCCCCTCTCTCTCTCTTTTCTCTCTCTCTCTCTCTCTCTCTCTCTCTCTCTCTCTCTCTCTCTCTCTCTCGATATGCATGTATCCTTTATTTTCCATGTTACTAAAGAACAACATTTATAGTTGGGGGAAATATACTAAAATTCTATTTTTTAATGAGTCTCACTAGGAAATGTTGGTTCCTTCCAGCACATGTGCTAATTTAAGAAGGGAAATAGATGTTTTGTAGTATTACAAAAGAAGGCATGGGCTCAATGGAAGTAAATTGTTTTCCTTTAATAGACAAATAATAATTATATATATTTATAGGGTACAATATACTTTACAATGTGTAAACCTTGTGGAATGATTAAATCAAGCTAATTAATATATCTTATCTTTCTTTTGTGCTGGGATATTTAAAATCTACTCTCAGCAATTTTGAAATATTAAATACATTATTATTAACTATTTTTACTATGTTGCACAGTAGATCACTAAAATTTATTCCTTCTAACTGAATCTTTGCTCTAATCAATTAATTTCTCCCTTTTCCCATCTGCATTAAGTCCAACAAGCCTCTGATAGCTTCCATTATATTMTCTACTTCTGTATGTTTGCATTTTTTCAAATTGACTTGTGAGATTATGCAGTATTTGTCTTTTTATRCTTGTCTTATTTACTTAGCATAATGCCCCTCAGGTTCTTGTATGTTGTCACTYAGGGTAGTCTTTTTGTTGTTGTTGTAGAGGTTGAATAGTATTTTATTGTGTACACATGCTACATTTTCTCTATTCATCCATTGGTCAAAGAACAATTCTTATCTTGGCTATTGTGAACAATGGTGCAATGGACAGGGCATTGTAGTTACCTCTTCAACATTATKCTTTTATTTCCTTTGGTCACCTAGCCAGAAGTGGATCATATGGTAGTTCTACTTATAATTTTTGAGGAGCTTCCATATTGTCTTCCAAAAATGGTTGCACTAATTTATATTCCAATCAAAAGCGCACAAGTGTTCGCTTTTCTCCATTTCTCACCAATAATTATCTTTCATCCTGTTGATAACACCCATTGTAATAGTAGTGAGGTGGTATTTTATTGTGGTTTTAATTTACATTTCTTTGATTATTAGTGTGGTAGAACTTTTTTTCATATACCTGTGGCCATTCATATGTCCTTTAAAAATTTTTTTCCTGGTACTAGAGATTTTTCCAGGGATGCTCTATTCTTGAGCTATATTCCTAGCCCCCATTTTTAAAAAACTTATTTTGAGACAGGGTCTCTCTAAGTTGCTGAGTCTGGACACAAGCTTGAGATCCTCTTTGTCAGCCTCTTGAGTCACTGGGATCATAGGGATGTGCWACTGCTATCTGGCTTATATGCCTTCTTTTGAACAATTTCTGTTCAGATCCTTTGTCCATTTATAAATTGAATTTGTTTTCTTGTTCTTGAGTTCTTGTTTTGACTTGTTTACAGACTCTAACAGTTTGAGTTCCTCATATATATTCAATATTAACTCCTTATCAGATATGTACATTTTCTCCAAATAAGCGGGTCATCTCTTTACTCTGTTAGTTTCAAGTGCTGTGCAGAAACCTTATAGTTGGATGATACCACATGTTTATTTTTGCTTTTGTTACCTGTACTTTTGGGTTCATATCCAAGAAATCATTGCTCACATCAATTTTGTAGAGCCTTTTCCTGTGTTTTCATCTAGTAATCTTATAATTTCATGCCTTCATTTGAGTTAATTAAAAAGTTAATCTATTTTGAGTTAATTTTGTGGTGTGAGCTCAAGGTTTAATTTCATTCTTCTACATGTAGATATTCAGTTTTCCCAGCACTAATTTTGAAGAKAATATCTTTTTTTCCATTTTCTATMAAAATTCAATTGACCATAAATATTTAGGTGTATTTCTGAGCTTTCTATCCTGTTTTACTTGTTGATGTGTCTGTTTTTATGCAGCATCATCATTCAGTTTTGATTGCTGTAGCTTTGTAATATATTTTGAAAACAGGTACAGTGATGCTTCCAGCTTTGTTCTTTTTGCTGGGAATTACTTTTGCAATCTGGGAACTTTTGCAGTTCTATAAGAATTTTACGATTGTTTTTCTTGTTACTATGAAGAATGATATTGGAATTTGGATAAGGATTATATTTAATATCTAGATTATTTTGGGTGACATGGCTATTTTTTAAAATACTGATTTTTCCAATCTATGAACATAAGATATCTTTCCATCTATTTCTTGTCATTTTCTATTTCTTTCATCTGTATTTTGTAGTTTCAGTATACTAATCTTCTACACCCTTTAGTTAAATTTATTCTGGGGGGTGGTAAATAGAAGAGTCTTTTTAATTTTCTTTTTTCATTTTTTTGAGATGGAGAMTCATTATGTTGTCTAATCTGGATTGACCTTGTAATCTTTCAGCCTCAGCCTCCTGAGTAGCTAGTATTATACAGGCCCTCTAAGGATATGATTTTTAAAATTTCATTTTTGGATAGTCTGTTAGTACACAGAAATGCTTTTGAATTTTGTGTGTTGATTTTGTATCCTACAACTTTACTGAACTTAATAGTTATAACATTTTTGGTAGACCCTTTAGGGTTTTCTGTACATTAGATCATTTTCATCCGCAAACAGGAAGTTTAACTTTTCCCTTTCTATGATTTTTTWAAATTTTTTTCTCGCCTAACTACTCTAGCTAGAACTTTCAGTACAATGTAGAAGAACAGTAACAAGGGTGGATATCATCTTATTCCTAAGTTTCGAGGGTAAACTTCCAAAGTTTTATCATTGAAGATGATTTTAGGTATGGGCTTGTAACATATGTTCTTTATTTGTTGAAGAACTTTAAAGGAGTATTTCTGAGGAAATTGATCAGAAAGTATTCTTTTCTACTATTTGAAGAAGATCCCAGTTTTGAATTCCTTTTTCAGTGCTAATGACAAAAATAATAACATATCATGCCATAACAAGTTGAGAATTCAGGTATCATACTTTTAAAAATTCTGTTTTTAAATTTCTACCAGCTTGTCCTATTTCAAAATTCTTTTATATGCAATTTTAAGACTCTCAGATCCAATTGTAGAATCTTCTTAGAATCTGGAGCATTTCTTCTCAAGGAAAGCAATTATCCCACTTATATGTGGAAGTTTGTGTGATTTTGGAGCAGGTAAATATTTCTAGAGAATGGCTTACAATTTACCTAATTTCCTAGAAATAGCTTATTTAGAAACAAACAAACAAACAAACAACAACAACAAAAAATTCACTGTCTCAAGGCCTGAGGGGAGAAACCTACTTAATTTTGCAATTTGAGAAACATTGTAATTCTTTTTCAAATAAGGATAAGAATAAGGATAAAAATAAGGATAATAATTACAGATAAGAAAATAAAAATGAATGAAAAGTGTATTATACAAATAACACAATATGATTTTATTAGGTAATTTTAATATAGAGCTCCTAAATACAATGGAAATTATAGATTTTCAATGTGATTCTTTTAAATTTTTTTTGTTATAGATGAACACGATACCTTAATTTAATTTATTTATTTCTATTTGGTGTTGAGGATTGAACCCAGTGCCTCACGCATGCTAGGCAARTGCTTTACCACTGAGCTACAACCCCAGCCCCCATGGTGATTCTTTCAGACATTTTTAATTATTGGAAATAAGTAATAAGGGATTTAAGAATTTATTTTTCAAAAGGATAAACAACTAGAACTACTTTAGTTCTTAGACAACTCTAACTTGATTTTTAAGAAAACATAAATCATATTTTAATACATAAAATAAATATTGCATGACTATTGAATTTATTAACATAGCAGTCAGTCTAATACAGGTTTAAATAAGTGGTAAAACATTAAGAAGCTTATTAAGAATATCTAATTCTGGAAGTCATTTAATTATTTCTTTCACCAATTTTTAAGTTTTATTGTATTGCATCAAGATCTATTTAATTTAATTTGATAATGATAATGTTTATCTATAAACATCTAAGAGCCAGCTATTTTTTTATACTTAGCGTTTGTTTGTAGACTTAAAGCATTAGAGACAACACCAAATCGATTTTTAAAAATAAATAGAATGGTGGAATGAGACAGACATCATATCCTAGGTGTGTGTAGGATTGCATGAATGGTGTGACCCTACTTCATGTACAACCAGAGAAGTAAAAAATTGTGCTTCTCTGTGTACATTGAAGCAAAGAGAATTCTGCTTTCATGTATAACTGAGTAGAACAAGTAAAAAATACAAAAAATAAAAAGAAACTGAGGTCAAGTTTATTAGGCTTCTTGTGACTAGAACAGATCTTCAAAGTTCCAGTATAACCCTGTCCCCAGTGCTTCATTCTACTGTTTTTTCTGGAGGCATTGTTAAGCAGGTAACTGCTCTGAGACAACCTGTAGTTGAATCTTCACCTTTTTTTTTTTTTTAGTGTAGGAATAATGGAGGGGGGGGTGTGGGAGGACAGGGGATGGATTGAAAAAAATGTAAAATTGTGACTGTTCATATTAGAAGGGAAAAAATAATTGTTTAAAACAATTTTAAAAAGTCTAAAAAGTCTAAAAGTTTGTTTAACAAACTGCCAAATATTTCTGATTCTACTTCTTATATTTATCTTTTTATTTTAAGGAAATAAKTTAATCTTTTTTAAAACAATGACTCTAGTAAACAAAAACTGTTGATATTAAAAAAATTTRTTTTGTCTTTTTAAGTTATCATTTTGACTATTTTGTTAATAATAGCATCATATGAAATATTTAAAAATAACTTTTCTTCTTACCAAGTATTTAAGTTATTTAAGAGCCCATGTACCTTTC